TCTGAGTCGGACTGGAGCTCTCTGCCCTTTACCAATCCAGCCACGGGCCCATCCATCTGGCCCATCAAGACTCACTCTCATTTCATCAGTCCATAAAACCTTAGAAAAACCAGTCTTGAGATATTTCTTGGCCCAGTCTTGACGTTTCAGCTTGTGTGTCTTGTTCAGTGGTGGTCGTCTTTCAGCCTTTCTTACCTTGGCCATGTCTCTGAGTATTGCACACCTTGTGCTTTTGGGCACTCCAGTGATGTTGCAGCTCTGAAATATGGCCAAACTGGTGGCAAGTGGCATCTTGGCAGCTGCACGCTTGACTTTTCTCAGTTCATGGGCAGTTATTTGGCGCCTTGGTTTTTCCACACGCTTCTTGCGACCCTGTTGACTATTTTGAATGAAACGCTTGATTGTTCGATGATCACGCTTCAGAAGCTTTGCAATTTTGAGACTGCTGCATCCCTCTGCAAGATATCTCACTATTTTTGACTTTTCTGAGCCTGTCAAGTCCTTCTTTTGACCCATTTTGCCAAAGGAAAGGACGTTGCCTAATAATTATGCACACCTGATATAGGGTGTTGATGTCATTAGACCACACCCCTTCTCATTACAGAGATGCACATCACCTAATATGCTTAATTGGTAGTAGGCTTTCGAGCCTATACAGCTTGGAGTAAGACAACATGCATGAAGAGGATGATGTGGACAAAATACTCATTTGCCTAATAATTCTGCACTCCCTGTAGAAATGATAGATTGTATAATAAGACTGAATAACAAACCAGGTTAAAAATTATAGTAATTTTCAACATGCTCTGATTGGCATGTAAAAATGATACGATGCCTCATTTAGAACTAAAGTAAGTGAGTGCTGCAGTAACCCACTGTACCATTAACATGACTATACTATTATGAAGTGCTATATATTCATTTTTGCTATAAAACTAGCCAAATGACAAAGACGAATGACAAACCTAATGTCCGTCATCCATTTTTTCTTGAAAAAAAAAAAAAAAAAAGCAAAAAAACCTCACATCACCCAGATAATCGTAATCACACTGGATATACAGTCTGTGTGTGGCATTCCCGTGTTGCCCTGGGGAATCCCAAGCACAGATTAGTGAGGATGATTTAAAGTATTAAAGTATGGATGATATAACCTGCATCAGTTCATTTTGCTTTAGTTGCTAAATCCAGTTATAAAGTATGCTATATTGTCACATATATACTGTAGGATGCCTGCAGTAGATGACTGTAGGCAGCTGTGTTATGTTGAGGTTAATCCAATCGTTTAAAGTGAAGCAAATACTGATTTTCTTCATGTTTGGCAAATCTAACCTTTTATTAAGAAAATCAGTCTCAGTTAAACAACAACATATGACATATTATACTATTTATTTAGCAAAACCTACACCGGCATTCAAAAGCAGCATGTAATAACTACAATCCTGCTGCGTCTATAGGAATTAAGAGGGTGAGTAGCAGCTGGGTTCTGCTAATTGTATGCATCATCACCAGGAAGTGTGAACATCTCTGTAAAAGCTGAAATTTGAACCATTTGCTGATCTGCAGCATTCAGGTGTGGTGGTAATAAAATCCCAAAAAGGAAATAAATCATATCTTAGTTGACATACGAGACCAAAGTGGAGATGTTTGACCAAGATGCACAGTGCCGCGTTTGATAAAAATCAAAAGCAAATCGGCACAAACACTTTGTGCCAACTGTCAAGCACGATGGTGCAGGGTGCTTGATTTGTGCTTGTTTTGCGGTCTCTGAACTCCTCTGTGAACCAAAGAACGGGATAACTATCCCAACCACATCAGAAAATCTACAGCAGAATGGCTTCAAAACACCAGAGTTATGTTTAAATAACTATATGACATGATGTGATGTGTCATGTGTTTCATCTCAAGTTGTATTTACCTAATTTTAAGACCTGCTAAGGACTTTTTCATTATCTACAAACGGAATAGAATAGTCATTTTGTTAAGTGCAACAAATTTTAGACTGGCATCTCTCCTATGATCATCAGAGTGTTATCAGTTCAAGTTATTATAGTGTATGAGTGGGGGGTTAAAGGGGTTTTAAAAAAAAAAGCAGTTCCTTCCTGGCCTTCTTCCTAAGATAGTTAGCTCTATTGCTATCACACGCTGTGTACTCTATTATCTCCTGATATGTAAAACCTGAGAATTGACAGAGGGTGCCATTTCTTTGTACCTCCTTATTTTGTTCTTTGTTTGGTTTCAGTAAAAGGTTTTCTGCTGTCATCATGAGAACAGAGGAGCTGAAGCCTGGTTAATTTTTTTTATTTTAGATGGAGAAGAATTCTAAGTGACATCAACAGAGCCAAGAACCACAAAAGGTTGGTGCAACTGTTGAGCTGAAGCTTGAAATTCGACTACTTGTTAGACAAAAGACAGATTCAGTGTGGGCATTTAAGAGGACAGACAGATTTAAACATGCAAAGAACTCTTTACCTTTTTTGACAGTGGAGGTAAAGAGCAAGGGGTGAATCTGAGAGACACTGTACATTCGTGCTGTAGCAGCTTGTTAGGAGATAAAGGCTGCCTGAAAACAAAACCTGCTTTTTGACCTTTTTAACTCTAGGGGAGGGGTGGGGGCTAATTCATAAACTAAACATTCTGCTGTAGTCAATAAAACATGAAGCTAACCCATAACTCATCAGGAACGCGTTTACTGAGATCATCAATCAAAGGAGCCAAAGGGCTGTTTTCTCAGAGATTTCTTGTTGTAACCAGAGGCGTCGCCCTCTGCTGGCTGTAAGAGAGACTGAAGACTTTACAGGCATCACCTCGCTTTTCAAACGATTAAGTTATGTCCACCTCTCAGAAATGTTCTACAATGTGAACCCTTTCAAGTAGACTTCAACATTAAATTGCTGTTACAGAATTCTTCCATAAATTCAGGATTCTCTCAGCGCCATCTGTCTTCTGCACAAAGTCTGTGGGAACCAGCATTCACAAGCCACAAAAAACAGCCTATGTACTTTGCACAATCGGTTTGCTTGCATATGCAAATAGAAAGATTAACTGTTAGTAGCACAACCCTCAAACACTATAGCAAGCTAACAAGCAACACACAGCAGGACTGAGGTTGCAAGCACTACTCTAAAAGCAATATTTATGTTACAGAATAAGCATTTTTGCTTCTCTTTGGATATCACTTACCAGTTGCTATGATCTTGTGTTTTCCCCTCCAAATGGCTACATTTTGCTGAAAATGTGGATTTGTTACTAAATGTCAAACAAAGCCATACTTGGGTTTTTAGTAGGCTTTGTCATGCACGCTGTTTGGAGGGAGTATGCAAAAAGGTATGCAGTAAAAAAAAGAAGATGAAAAAAGACCACATTTAAAAAATAAATAAATAAAAAATAAAAAATAGGATGGCAAAACAAGTGAAAATTCATGCATGTAGGAACTAACCTTCGTTTTTACCCATGTTAAACAGTTTTGTGTCTTTTCAATTTCCATCGGTTTCTTTGCTCTGAATGCGATACTAATGCAAATTCCACAAATGATGGGTTTCATTTTCATCCCTACCATGCTTTTTTGTTGCATTGCATGCCTCCCCTTTTTTTCCTTTGATGTATTCTTCTGCCATTTTCTGAGGCTGCTGCAATAGATCAATGTCCACAGGCATTTCTAATCAATACCTTTACTTTTTTTTGCAAATAAAATCAATGCACTCCAGCAATATGGTTGAGATTGATTTCGTTACAAAAGCTACACCCGGAGTCATATAAATATATATGGACACTAAAGGCTAATGGCATTTTCTTATGGTTTGGCTATTCAGCAAATAAAACCCCTTCTTTGTTTCCAGACTTCAGTAGCAGAGAAGAATAATTTCATGTGGGAAATGTGTAACAGTCACATGTATCCTATAAATGATCATAAATGTGACATAAGCTCTTAAAAGTTAAGCTAGTTAGTGATCTAGACTTGATAAGCAATAATCTTTTAACAAACACTTGTTTTTAATTATCCTGTGATGCAATATCATTACTTACCAGTGTCTTTATAAACGGGGTCGAGCTTTCATTTAAAAAAAGAAAACGAAAATGGTGTGAAATTGTGCAACCAGCTTGAGAAAACACACGGGAAGGGTCAGGTAAAATGCCATTTATGTAACTTACTTTTCAAGAATCTAATACAAAGGCATACACATTTCACCACCAAGAACCACATATAACCACTAATGCAATAAAACATCACCATACAAACAGGAAAAAAAGAATTAGAGTAGTTGGCTTTGAAGCTTGGGAGAGATCACGGAGAGCCACAAGCTCACATGCATACAAATAGGCTCATACACATTCATAAAGAGCATTCAGTATATACACGCACACACACACACAC